TGTCTTCTTCAAATTTTGCAGGGGTACCTTTTGTGACATCAAAAAGCTAAGTCTCCAGCAAGTTATGGCAAGCTAATAATAAGCACAAGTCTTCTCAGAGTTCAAATGGGCATATTTATACTCTTTCACAGAAAAAGAATTCTATATTACTAGGTTTAAATAGAAATTTTGTTAGCTAAATGATTGATTAAATACACTGAAGTTACTTAATAAAAACTTCAGCTATAACATAAAAAGAGATTACCCAAAGAAACAGTCATAAAGCCTAGGAAAAAAAGAACTCTCCACCTAACTAGAAACCAATCAAGAGTGCTGGAGAGAGCCCTGGCCCATGTTGTTCAATGGTTAGAATATCAGTCTGTGCACCCAAGGATTGCGGGTTTGATTCCCTGTCAAGGGCAAATACCTGGGTTGCAGGTTCAATCCCCAGCCCTGGTTGGAGCTCATTTGGGAGGCAACCAATCGATGTGAGAACTCTCTCTTTCTCTCTCCCCATCACACCTCCCTCCCTTCCACTCTCTAAAAAATTTTTTTATAAATCAATGGGAAAAAATATTATCCCTCAGTGAGGATTAACAAAAAGTGCTGGAAAGGCCTTGACCAGATAGCTCAGTTAGTTAGAGCATCATCCTAATTTGTCCAAGGTTGCAGGTTCTATCCTCAGTCAGGGCATATACAAGAAGCAACCAATAATGCATAAATAAATGGAACAAATCTCTCTCTCTTCCTCTCCCCACCCCCCTTTCCCTCCTTCCTTCCCTCCCTAAAATCTACAAATATTTTTTTAAAAAAAATAAAAGAGTGCTGTCCCTGCCCAGGTGGCAGTTGTCTGGAGCAGCGGTCACTAACCTTTCAGACCTCACAGACCACCGGTTAGCAACCGCTGGTTCGGAGTATCATCCCATACACCAAAAGGTTGCAGGTTCAATTCCTGGTTGGGGCTTATACTGGAGGCAACCAATCAGTGTTTCTCTCTCACATCTATGTTTCTTTCTTTCTTTCTCTCTCTCTCTCTCCCCTCCTTCCTCTCTCTCTAAAATCAATAAACATATTTTCAGATGAGGATAAAAATAAAATAAAAGAGTGCTGGAGTACAAGTCTATAAAATACTTACAAATATTGAGTTGATGTTTTTTAAGTAACTGATTTTTCCTCTAATTATAAAAGAAATCCATGTTCTTTGTAGATAAAATAACCAAAAAGAAAATAAAAACTATCCTGCTACCTTTTGCATAACATTTTGCCTCACTAAACAGTAAGTCCTTTGAAGGCAGCTCATCTCTCCAAGAAACACAGACTCCTCTCTTCTAGAACTCATCTATGGAAGCCTAGTAGCACAGCAGGGGGGTGGAGCACATAGGATTAATTCAATAAGAGTAATATGGCCCAGCCAGCATGGCTCAGGGTTCAATTCCCAATCAGGGAACATGCCCAGGTTACGGGCTTGATCCCCAAAAGTGGGGCATGCAGGAGGTAGCCGATCAATAATTCTCTCCCATCACTGATGTTTCTATCTTTCTCTCCCTCTCCCTTTCTTTCAAAATCAATAAAAATATATTTTTTAATGAAATCAATATTTTTAAAAGAGTAGTATGTAGATTTGTTTTCCAATTTTCAACATTTCACCACTTGTATAAATCCAGAATCAGAAAAAACATACATTCCATTTTTATGGGTTTTTCTTGGTTTACAATAATTTTTTGGTATTTTTTCAAGTGTCCTTAAAACTTCTTACTATAGTAGCAACAAAATCCTACATTTCCAATTGCCAAATCAGGTAGTAAACACATCATATTTACTTTTTAAATTATATTTAAATTAGCCAAAATAACTATTCGCTTTGCTATTTTTTAAATATATTTTTTATTGATTTCAGAGAGGAAGGGAGGAGAGAGAGAGAAAATCAATGATCAGAATCATTGATCGGCTGCCTCCTGCACGCCCCCTACTGGGGATCGAGCCTGCAACCCAGGTATGTGCCCTTGACTGGAATCAAAACCAGGACCCTTCAGTTCGCAGGCCAACGCGCTATCCACTGAGCAAAACTGTCTAGGGCTTTATTTGCTATTTCTTTCTTTCTTTCTTTCTTTCTTTCTTTCTTTCTTTCTTTCTTTTTTTTTTTGGCTTATAAGCAACAACAATTTATTTCTTGCCAATCTGGATGCTAGGAGATCCAAGATCAAGGCCCCAGGATAGTCACATTCATCACATTCTCGTCAAGGCCCTCTTCCTGATTCATAGCCAGTGCCTTCTCACTGTGCCCTCACATGGTGGAAGGTCTTTATTTGCTATTTCTTATGTAAAGATCCTACCCAACTCCATCAACAGATTTTCACATTTAATGTACAGCTAAATGTATAACTAAGTTTCTCCTCAGAATATCCTACACTAGCTCTTTCCAGCTGGCAGCGAGTCATGGGCATCTCTCGGGACAACTGGCACAAGCACAGCAAGACCAGGCACAAAAAAGCGAAAATATGAGCAGCGATGCCCTGCTGCCAACCCTAAGACTGGCCCCCACCATACACACACAGTCTGCATGAGACTAGACGTGGGTTCTCCTGGGGCTCCAAGTGTTTTATGTGCAAAACAAGGATTTTTAATGTTGTCTACAAAGCATCCAACAACGAACTGGTCTGCACCAAGACCCTAGTAGAGAACTACATCGTGCTCAGTGACAGCACTCAGTACCACTGGGCTGAAAGTACAGGGTCTAGCTGACTTCTGATGAAGAACAAAGAGACTTTAAACAAAAAATGATCAAAGAAAATTCAGAAGAAATATGATGAAAAGAAAAAGAATGCCAAAATCAGCCATCTCCTAGAGGCACAGTTCCAGCAGGGCAAGCTTCTTATATGCATATCTTCAAGACCAGACCCCAGGCCAATGTGGCACAGCAAATGGCTATGTGCTAGAAGGCAAGGAACTGGAGTTCTAGCTGAGGAAAACCAAGGCCAGGAAAGGCAAATAAATCCCCTTCCCTCCTATCTTAGCTCATGCAATAAAGGTGTTTATTGTTTACACACACACACACACACACACATATATACATATATATACACACATATATATATATTCTACACTAGTCTGAATTTATACACTTGCAAAACAATTCGTGTCATAAAATTCACCCACAAGTACACAAGTGTAATGCTCACCGATATCTAGCTCAGATGCATTACCTCATCCATCCAAGTGAAGTATAAGAACTATACTTATCAAGCAAAATTTGAGGAGACAGTGAGGAAAATAGTAGACAGCCTCCAGCAATACACATAGGGAGGAAAAACTTATCCCTTTCACACCCAAAGCCTAGGCTTTAACAAGTTTTCAACAACAACAGTGAAGTAAAAATCTCACAATAGTTTTGACTTTTCACTGGACTCTATATCTTAAGTAGTCTGGGTGACAGTGCAAAAATTAATTTGAAGCTACATTTCTTCTTCCTTAATATGAAAAGCTGAATATTGTCTGTCTTGACTAAAAAGCCCCAGAGATTTCAATTCTGCAGGAGCTCTGCATGGTTCTAAATTTAGTCAAGTAATAGAAATAGTTGGAAAGCATGTAATTCATTTTAATATCTGTACTTTTATGTTGCCAGGCAGCTAATTTCTTAAATAATCTTAAAGCAGTAATCCACATAAAATAAATATATAAGCTAGACAATCAACAGATAGGTTAGCACTTGGGTTAAATAAAATATTATCTATAACTTCTATCTATAACAATTTCCCTCTTCAAAAATACATTCTATAGCCTGGACAGTGTGGCTCAGTGGCTGAGCATTGACCCATGAACCAAGAGGTTGCTGGTTTGATTCTCAGTCAGGACACGTGCCCAGGGTTTCGGGCTAGATGCCCAGAGGGGGCGTGTAGGAGGCAGCCAATCGGTGCTTCTCTCTATCCTTTTCCCTTTTCTCTCTAAAATCAATAAAAATCTATAATAATAAAAGCATAATATGCTAATTAGACCGGACAGCCGAACAACCTTCCGGACGAAGCCGGGGCTGCGAGGGCCAAGGCAGGCCGCACGGCTGCAAGGGCTGAGCCACTTGCATGAATTTCATGCATTGAGCCTCTAGTATATTTTTAAAAATATATAGTCTATTTCCATGGGGATAATAGGCAGGATTTTAAATTTTCAACAGAACATGCTAATAGCACACTATTCCTTTCTTTATAGCTTACTTATCTGTTTCCACATCAAAAGAACATATAGATAGGTTTAATGGGTTTCACCTTCAGTGCACAATGTTTTTGTAGAGGAGACTGACATATCTGGTTTCATATAGTATCCTAGAGCAGGACATTCTCAATCTGTTGGACCGTAAGTAGTTGGGGGTATATCAGATACCAATTCTAAGGCTAATCCTATTTTAGGTTTTTTACATCTAAAGCCACACTCCAACAGAAATGTTCAATACAAACACCCTAACTTCATGTCAGTTTCCTAGACTATATTCACAGACCAATATTCAATATATGTATGATGTGTGTGTGTGTACACGCGCAAGTTTAGATTCAAAGCACAAAGTATGAAAGCTCTGGTTTAGAAGCTTCCCTTTCTAAGGAGATTTTAATTCAGACAGGAGAAGATACAAAGAGGTAAACAACCCAAGGGATTACACCACAGTAAGAAAAAGCCTGGATTGCATGAGAGTAAGAGATGAAAACTTATTTTCACCTTCACATGTCATCACCAAGTTGGGGGGCGGGGGGGACGGGACAATACAGATGATCCCCAACTTACGCTGCTTTGACTTATGATTTTCGACTTTATGGTATGAAAGTGATACTAGAAACGATAATTTGAATTTTGATCTTTCCCCGGGCTAGCGATGTGTATGTAGCATGATACTCTCTCATGATGGTGAGTAGTGGCAGCGAGATGATTTTGCCCGACTGTAGGATAATGTCTAAATATTCTGAGCACATTTAAGGTAGGAGAGGTTAAGCTATGATGTTCAATAGGTTAGGTATATTAAATGCATTTTGACTTACGATATTTTCAACTTTCGATCAGTTTCTTGGGCAGTAACTCCATTGTAAGGTGAGGAGCATTGAAACAATACCAATTTTCTGCTCAATATCCATCTCCCATAGCAAGTCATTATCACTGCCTGTAAATCACTTCATTCTGAGAAATAATTCAATTTAGACATTTTGTTATTAAGTACATCTGGATCTTAGGTCTAGAGTTCATTCCTTTTTTTTTTTTACTGGAAATAACTGATCCCATGAAGATAGCTAAGGATAGATAATTAAGAATGAGAAGCAGTTCCCCACTAAAGGAATCAAGGTTCCTTGCAGAAATTATTGATTCCAGGTCTGGGGCAAGTAAAGTACAATGTGAACTTCAAACATCCTGTTGTGCCCGAGTGTAAGAAAGTGCTCAAGAGTGCCATTCGCTCCCCTTGCCTGTGGGGTGCCACCTCCCTGAGATGCCCTGGCAGCAGGCGAGGGGAGAGTGGGCTTCCATGAGCCTGAGGAGGCGCAGGCCTGGCCCGGGCCCGCAGGTCTGTGTGTATGACCCCAGCACTCTGCTAGACACAGAAAGGAAAAACCTGTCCAGAATCCCTGCAGGAAAGGGAGGGAACATCTCAATATGGAAAAACTCTATAATGAAAATGAAGAAAAGCTGGAAATCGAGGGAAAGCCAGAAGATGAAGTAGATACAGAAGATGAAGGAAAGTCAGACGGGAAAGAAAACCCAGAAGTGGAGGGGAAGCCAGAGCAAGAGGAAAAGCTCCAAGACCAAGGACAGCTAGATGACGCGGGGAAACAAGAAAAGCAGAGCAAGTCCCAAGGTGAGGGGAAAGCATGCAGTGAGGGCAAGCCAGAACCCCAGGCCAAGCCAGAGAGCCAGCTGCGAGCTGCCGAAAAACGCCCAGCTGAAGAGTATGTGCCCCGGAAAGCTAAGCAAAAAACGGACAGGTGGACGGATGATTCCCTCAAGGACTATCAGGAGGACTTACAGAAAAGGCATTTGGGCATTGAGGAGAGGATGAGAGAATGTGCAGATGTATCAAGGGCTCAGGAAGAGCTAAGGAAAAGACAGAAAACGGGTGGTTTTCATTGGCTGCAAAGATGTACAGGGGGCCAATGGGGTATCAGGGGAACGAGGGGTGGAGGTAGGAGCCAAAGGGGTGTACATAATATCCCATATCTTTAAAGCCCTTGGACTTCAATTCTGATTTCTCTGATAAGAATATTCCAACCCTGCTTTCCCTTGGGCAGGGAGCGGGGAGGGTATTTTCCAGGCAATGTGCTTTAACCTTAAGCTGATACTTTGCTGTAGGTGTCTGCCATTCTTGTTACCAGCCACCTTTTGGTCCAATATACAGTGCTCTCTGTTTCAGTACTGGATTTTCATTCATGTGCATGGAAGAGAAGGTCATGGTACTTTGTAAAACAATAAAACTGTTTTTAGAACAAAAAAAAAAAGAAAGTGCTCAAAACTTGACCTGTTCATGTCAAAAGGGTATGAGTCAGTTTGAAGAGGCTCCCACTGACCAAACTATGACAATTACTATATTTAATACTGAACATAGTCAGTGTTTTTAATCTGTACAGCAATGGATTGGAACAGATTGAGATGTTTTGTTTTGTTTTTATTGATTTTAGAGAGAGCGGAAGGGAGAGGGATAGAGAGATAGAAACATTGATGAGAGAGAAACATTAATCGGCTACCTCCTACACGACCCCCTACTGGGGATCGAGCCTGCAACCCTGACCTGTCTCCTGACCAGAAATCAAAGCAGTGACTTTTTTTTTTAATTGATTTCAGAGAGGAAGGGAGATAGAAACATCTATGATAAGAGAGAATCATTGATTGGATGCCTTCTGCACGCCCACTACTGGAGGGGTATCGAGCCCACAACCGGGCATGTGCCCTTGGCTGGAATCGAACCTGGGACCCTTTAGTCCACAGGCCGACGCTCTATCCACTGAGCCAAACCGGCCAGGGCAAAGCAGTGATTTCTTGGTTCATGGGTTGACGCTCAACCACTGAGCCCCACCAGCTGGGCCCAAGTTTTTTTTAAGTATATAGAGTGATCCTCAAAAACAAAAAAATGAGAGAAATCAAGCTCTTCTTTACAGAGCAACACCAACTAGTAAATGTAGAAGGAATGAGAGAATCAATATTTGCAACCACCAATATAATAACTGATTCAAGTAATGGACGTTAAGGCCTTCACCCCACACCTGAAATGATTGTCTGCCTCCTTCTTGAAACTCTCTCCTCTAAGACGCTATCACACACACTTTATTGGTTCTCCATCTACCTTCTTGGCCTCTTCAATTTTCTTCCAGGGCTCTATTACCACTGTCACTGTTCTCCAAGGCTCCCAGCCTTCAGCTCTTCAGTCTTGACATAATCCTTAGATGATTACAAGGTATATACTGTTGACTCCCAAATGTCTCTCCAGCCCCAATATCTCTCTCCTACTCCAGACTGGTACATCTAACTTCCTGTTAGTCATTTCCACATAGTTTCATAGGTACCTCAAATTCAACCAATCCAAAAACAAACACCTCACTTTTACTCCCAAATAGGCAACTTCCTGTTTGCCTAACATAAATAATGTCACCATCCACCCTGAGAGTTATCCAAAACTCATCACTCTCACCTCCATACTCACACAGATACACCTTTAAGTCTAACAGATCTACCCTCTAACTATCTCTTGAATCCCTGGCAGGGCCACTTCAGACCCTATTTCTTATCTGGATTACATTGACTACCCCTAAACTGAACTGGACTCCAGTTTATTTCCTGATTCCAGTCTATTTCCCTGTCTAGTTGCTAAATTGCTAAAAGTGATCTTTTTAAAAAAAAAATCCTTCAATAGTTTTCATAGTTTAAGACAAAATTCAAATTTTTTAGCCTACCAAATAAGGCCTTCAAGATCAGGCCCCTCCTAGCTCTCTAGCCTTTTCTCTAACTATAAAAGTACCCTATGTTTAGACACATCCTACTCCTTGAAATTTGTCAAAGGCATCTTGCTGCTCTTCTGTACACCTTCACCCTTTACACATGCAATTCCACCCTATATTCTCTTCCCCATATTTCACCTGGCTAACTGTTGTCAGCCCTTCAAGATTCAGTTGGAGTATCACCCCATGAGTCTTTCCAGATCTCCACTGTGCTTCTAAAGCACCTTGGGCATTCCTCTAGTTCGGTGTTCATCAGTCTGCAGTATCACTAATTGATGTGTCTAAGCTCTTTTAAGGTAAAAAACTGGGTCTTTTTATTTTATACCCCCAGCACCTAATACTATAGCTATTCATATGAGGTTGAATTCATTAACCCATTGAGATTCAGTCCAAACTTTACCTCCTCTGAAAAGCTGAATCTGAATCTGTCATTTAGAGTTAACCATTCCTCTTTTTGGCCTCATATTACATTTTATCACCACATTGTGCAACACTGTGACCTTGTGTTAATAAACTAAAGGTCAGTTTAGTTAATAAACTAAATTTATTTAGTTTTTTTGTAATCTATAATAAAATGCAAGTTCCTTGAGGATAGAGACAGTGTTGCATTTATCTTGGTATTTTTAGCATGTAACAATATCTAACAAATAATGGACACCTATTAAACATTTGAGTAAAGGAATGAGTTGTTCTTATCATAAATTTTAAATTGACTTTCTTAATGTTAGGTATTACTTTGGAAGCAGTTCTGACTTGAAGATCCCTTTTTCTATCATACCAATAAAGGAGGACCAGAAACTAAGAAAAAATCTTGTAACAGAGAACTGTCCTGGAAAGAAAACATATGAGTAATGTTTTTTCTAACAGAGACTAATACAGTGGGGCCTTGACTTACGAGTTTAATTGGTTCCGTGACGGAGCTCATAACTCAAATTACTCGTATGTCAAATCAAAAAGTGAACGAGACACGTGATGCTGGGCTGATGTTGTGGCGTTCACTGTGACGTTCGCTGTGCCAACTAGCGGTGGGGTATCTGAAGCTGGCTCGTAACCCGAATTTTAGCTCGCAACTCAAAGCACAAAATCAGCGGAGAGACGGCTAGTATCTCGAAAAACTCGTTAGTCGGGACACTCGTAAGTCAAGGCCCCACTGTAATAATAACAGATTTCTCTGATTTCTAACCTAATACTATGATAGGCTCATAATGCACCAAAGCAGTTAAGTAACAGCACTGCATCTGTGTTAAGTGAAAAAAAAAAGCTGGATTGGTAAAATGAAAAATTGGCAAATGAATGCCTGTCATTCTTTTTTTTTTTTTTAATATATTTTTATTGATTTCAGAGAGGAAGAGGGAGATAGAGAGAGAAATAGATAGAAACATCAATGAGGAGAATCCAAGATTGGCTGCATCCTACACACACCACACTGGGGAATGAGCCCCCAACCCAGGCATGTGCCCTTGACCGGAATCAAACCCGGTACCCTTCAGTTCGCAGGCCGACGTTCTATCCACTAAGCCAAACCGGTTAGGGCAATGCCTGTCATTCTTAATTGAAAATCTATAATCTTCCAGGGGGCCTCATGTGTCAGACAGTATATATAGGTAAGGCTAAATGTATGTCCTCTACTGTGGGCATTGAGCAAAACACAAGTCAACAATAAATGACAGCATAAAGTAAATTGAAGAGACGCTCATGGCCTAGAACACTTTTCTAATCTAAAGTGACCCTATGGCTGGATCCAGCCAGTCTACTAAACTGAAAAGACAATTACCATTTCCCAATCTGTAAGAAACCAATAGGCAGGAAAACAGTTATGAAAGCAATGTTAATTCCAAAGAGAGAAAGGAAGAAAAAGATGGGGGGAGGAGGGGAGCACACAGAAATAAAGCACCACTTTCTCTCTGCCAATCTTAACTTCAATAATGTTCTGTTATTGAACAGCACTGGAGAACATTATTTAGAGACTAGTAATCTGATCTGTAAGGTAGGCTATGCTTGCTGACTGTGGCCACCAAACACATCCCAGCTACATGGCAAGTGTGCTCATTTAATATCTGCAAAAACCTCTTTGTCCTTCTTTTGTAGTATCTGCTAACTATAGGTGGAGTAAAATATTGAAGCTAGCCCAAGAAAATTCATTAAGTGCAGCTTTAATCTCAAGTGTTTACATTTAAATCAATAGATGTATCAAGAAGTATTACTACTGTACTCAACCTTAGTAGATATCTCCAAAAGTCAAGTTTTCTTCTACCATAAAATAAGCAATCAACTCCATTTTACATATAAAGACACTGATTCAGTAGAGTTAATGAGAATTAACTCAGCAAAGCCTCCGAGAACTTCAAACAGGGTTAAAAAGTCAAAGTTTTAAGCATTGGTTCTGATTTTACTCCCTCACAAAGCCTACAGAGAAACCAAGCAGGTTTCAATAGTGCTCCTATCATACTGTTCAAATAACTCAAATTTTCAGCCATCATGGACATTTAGTTAAAAAAAATAAAGAAGAAATATTTCTGCACTATCATACTCCAAGTGCAAACCCTCTTGGTCTTCCCATTTCTTCATAGTCAAAAATACTGCTAGGATGGAGAGTAAAACATAAAGAATAAATTTTAAACCAAATAATTCTGAAGGAAAAATAAGGAAAATCTGAATGTGGGATAATTAATATAAGGTTGAAGATACTTTGCGGGCACATCCCCAGTGGGGGGTGTGCAGGAGGCAGCTGGTCGATGTTTCTCTCTCATCAATGTTTCTAACTCTCTATCCCCCCCCCTTCCTCTCTGTAAAAAATCAATAAAATATATTTAAAAAAAAAAAAAAAGGTTGAAGATACCTTAATAATGGAAAATGTACAACTTTGATGGTACAGCAACAAAAGCAAAAACTTACTTTAGCACAACTGGCAAAATCACAATCTAGAACATATACCTCTAGAACAGCGGTTCTCAACCTGTGGGTCGTGACCCCTTTGGGGGTCGAACGACCCTTTCTTTTTTTTAAAAAAAAATATATATTTTATTGATTTTTTTACAGAGAGGAAGGGAGAGGGATAGAGAGTTAGAAACACCGATGAGA